GCACCTAAAATAAACCACAACCACATTTTGTATTTCATATTATACTGTACATGTTCATGCAAATTGAATTAATATCTTTGAAAATGATCAGGAATGAATCCAAAATCGTAGTGGCCCAATTCTAATAATTTGAAATCAAATAGGGATTTCCAAACAAGCCATTAAGGAAATTTAAATAGGATGGGATTGTGCAAAGAATCTAGATCAGCTATATTAGTATCACATTTAAGACTGTAAATGGAGGGACGAATTTGGACTAGGTATTGATAATTTAGGTTCGTGTACTACATGGTTTCTAAAAATGGAGGTCTTCTGTATAAATTATGTAGGAAGAATATTAGCATTCAATATCTGATAAATTGCAGTATCATATACGTAGGAAGAATATTGGTAGGTTTTTCATGTTCACTTTTTCTCTCTCCCCTCTTTGGAAAGATGATTTTCTCATTTTATTTTCGAAGTACAGGAGGTTTGGTCTCTTCTCCAATGAAGCTGTTCTTTGTTGAAATTCCTCCAAGTCTCTTCGCTTTATTTCTATTTTCTTTAGCTTTTGGCGCGTGAGATGAGATAGAAAATTCCGATTATGGTCCTGTTAAGGTGTAAGATTGTGGAACTGCTAGATAGAGTAGTATTAGGGTATCTGTTTTTCTTTGTTTTAGTCCCACGTCGATTAGGGTTTTAGAACATCTCATTTTACTCTTGTATTTAACCAGTTCAATACAATGAATAAAATAAGTCTCTTTTTTCTCAAAAGCTTTATTTTTAATATGACATCAGAGACATTCTCTTGATCCCAAAGAGATATCTTTCTTCTTCCTCTAAATCAGGCCGCCGAGGGGGCTTTGCTGAAAACTCCGCGTTTCCCTTCAGCGACGGCCTATACCGGACTCAACATTGACGCACTGCCCCATCACTCACAACCTCCGCTCACAATAAAGCCCTAGCCCTCACCTCGCCACAATGACACTGTTCATCCATGGGATACTGTTCATCCGCTTCATCGCATGCGTACAAGGTGTTCAACGAATGGTCTAAGCAAGATTTCTCCCTACTTGGCCAGACTCTGCCCAAGCTCTCTCCAACCAAGCGCTTCCACTCACCGATGCTTGCAAGGTCTGATCATCGTGTCTCCTCTCGCGACCACATGTCCGTCCCCTCGCAACCATCATGCGTGACCACTGATCACTGCTGCAACACCATACCTCGCCGCTTGCAAGATCCAGTCACCGCGCATTCTCCTGTGACTGCAGGTCCGTCCTCTTGCAACCACGGTGCATGATTGACGATCACCACTGCAATAACATGATCTCGCCGCCTGCAATTCCAACCACTGATGTGCTCCAATTCAACAATCTCTCGCCAAGCCATGACAACAACTATCTACGCAAAATTTTATTCACCTTATCCAAACTCACGGTTCTCTACTAACCACAAGTTTGACGGGTATGTTAGATATAGTAGTATTAGGGTATTTGCTTTTTCTTTATTTTAATCTCACATCGATTAATATTTTAGAACCTCTCCTCTTACTTTTGTATTTAAGCAGTTCAATGTAATAATGAATAAAAGTAGTCTCTTCTCTTCCCTAAAGCTCTATTATTAATAGTCTCTTCTCTTCCCTAAAGCTCTATTCTTAACAGGAACATCCATCTTGATGTTTCCACATCTTCTTATTTAAAAAATCTACAATGAGAGAAGTTTATTGAGAATAGGTTAAAGCGGAGATTACATCCATCCTGAAGTTTATCGAGCTCCAAGACCACATTTTGAGAGGTTGTGGCGAGGTCTCTTTAGGCGAGCACTTTATTTCCGCCCGGGCCTTTCTTCAGGCTAAGCTACCGGAGGTTGACCTTCTTCAAATCACCACTAAAGGGTCTGTCCCCCTAAAACCAATGCATTACTTGGCAGACACCTTTTTTGATGGTATTTGTAGAGATCTAGCGACGGAGTTTGATCTATCAGAGAGGCAGGTGGCTATTTTTGGGTGCCTGCGGGCAAAACACGCCCAGGATTTCTTATTGGCCACGCCTATTGAGGGATTGGGGCAACGTATGACACCGGGGGAGTACCAGGCCATTCTCAGGTACAGGTTGTTGGTTCCTTTGTTCGTGGAGGGGACTATGTGCCCAGTTTGTCGTAGGGCGCAGATGGATGCTTTTGGAGAGCATGCCATCCACTGTCAGAAGCAGTCAGGGTTCAAGTACAGGCACGACTTAGTCAGAGATGTCTTGTATGATATCCTCCGAAGAGCAGGGATCCCATCAAAGAAGGAAGCGCCGGTCAACTTCCTCACCCCTCCTGGAGAGGCTAGATCTACTTTAAGGCCGGCAGACGTCCTTGTCTACAGTTGGAGCGGGGGGAAGCACGCTTGTGTTGATCTCACGGGGGTGTCTCCATTGGTGGGGTTTGGTAATGGAGTGTTCACTGTTGGGCATGCAGCGGATAGAGCGGCAGAGGCGAAGGTGGGCAAACATGATCAAGCTTGCAAGGACAACCAACACAGTTTCATCCCGTTCGCGTTCGATACGTTTGGTTTCCTTGCAGCTGATGCGGTGGAATTCCTATATATATAAAATTTTCAAAACAAAAACAAAAACAAAAAAAAAGAAACAAATTTAGGATAAAAAAAAGTATGATATTTTTTTTCTATAAAAAAACCCATGAAATCATGATGAATTTGTGCAAGTTACAACAAATTGTACCATGTTGATATTTTTATTTATTTAGTGATTTATTTTTTTTGGGTTTTAGCATTAAACTTGGCTTATTTAGTCCATACTTCCTTTTAATAAAGGGGGCGTTAGTACTATTCCTAATTTTCTGGAATCCTAAAGATCATTCTGAAGCATGATGCGTTTGGTTGTGAATTTTTTTGCTTCATAGCTTGAAAGATCGATGGAGGAGGGGAAAAAAGAGATCCATAATAATCGAAACTCCAATTAAGGTTTACTCTTCACTTGTTTTTCAACGTTTACAAGTTCGAGTTTTTCAACATTTACAAGTTTGAATTTTTCAACATTTAGGGATCTTTTATCATAAATGTTCATGATGGCAGGATAAAATTGATGAGCCGTGCAATACAAATTCTCATTTTTTTTACTGTGATATTAGATACAGACGATAGTACATGAAAGGGGATTTTGTGATCAAGTACGGATTATGTACTACAAGAAATGTTAATGTGCATAAAGGAAAACAAATGAGATGTCTATGTATTAGTCTCATTATTGTTGTTACAATAATAAGACCAATACAAATGAAATGTCTATGTTTTGGTCTTATTCTTGTTGTTACAAAATCTACATATTACTTTCTATTTTTGTGAAGCTTGGCCTCCTGATGAATGTTGTCTTTCAACAATGAGAGAGATGAAGAATACAAATGAATGTAAAATTCACTGAGTTTGTGTCTATGTTCTGTTACTAAAAGATTTTTTTTTTCTTTTCTTGGACATCTGAATGGACTGAATTCCATTGGCTTGGCTTTGTCTCTGAATCCATAATTATACGTGCATTACACATATAATTAAAACTATGAATTTTTTTTTTTTTAATGTCTCATGTGAAATTTGGAAAGAAATTAGGGTGTAAACTTTTTTGACAAAAAACTAAAACCTTTCCTGATATACTCACACAGGGGTTAATTTCAAAAAACCCTCCCTGAACTCAAGCATGTTTTTGCGCTGCTTTGAACTTTGGAGTGTCTTTTGCAATACACCCTTAGGGCTTGTTTGGATTGAGGGGAATAAGGGTGAAGGGAAGTTAGGGGAACCATTCACCTCCATTCATCTTGTTTGGGAACATTTAGGGCTTGTTTGGATTGAGGGGAATAAGGGCTTATTTGGATTGAGGGGAATAAGGGTGAAGGGAAGTTAAGGGGAAACATTCACCTCCATTCATCTTGTTTGGGAACACTTAGGAGGTGAAGTTATTCACCCTAGTTCCCCTTGGTTCACCTCCTAATAGTATAAAATTTGTTACCCCCAAATTGGGGTGTAACCAAGGGGAAGGGAATTCCATTCCCTTCCCTTTCATTCTCTCATCTAGTTTACCTTAACTTCCTTTCACCCCCTACAAATCCAAACATGCTCTTAAACTTCCCAGCAAGCATCCTTGACGGTGTTAATCTATATCTATACTATTAATTAAGAAATACTTTATTTTGGTATTGGACCCCCTATTTAAGTCACCTTTTAGAAAAATTCCAAACATATCCCAAATTATACACACAATTTTTAATAATTTACTACTTAATAAAGGATAAATTTAGAAAAAGGCAAACAATAATTTTTTTTATAACTAGCCCCACTGACACATAACTACAAGCCGTTCACTACTTCATAACTATCTTATTTTTGAAATATCATTTTTGAAACACCATATACTTATATTATTATGAAACTTTTTTAATATACTAATATTATTAAGGTGTAAACAAATTATTTATTACGCACAAGGATGTCTCCCATCATGCGCGCATCGCGTGAATGATAAGTATTCCTCCTTAAGATTAAACCTATTTATATCCAATATGATATGATTATAGATATGGATATGCATTGAAATATCTAGATCCATATCGAAAATATTCAAATATATGTTGATAATTATACAATTGCAATTGTTTTGATTATAACATTAATAAATTTGAAGTTAATTTTGATAATTCAAAGGTATATTCTTAGCTTTTCGTATACAGGAACACATTAATGGGCTCTTATATCATATGATCTATATATTTCCCAATGTCATCTAATTTTCTCATATTCATATCTATTTTTCAATATTCATATCCAACGTTAGAAGGTATGTATGGATATAAATTTATTCTTATTGAGACATATCGGTAGGTATCTATCAAACTGTTTGCAAATCTAGCTAACACCCTCGTAGCGGTACTCATGGAAAATCTTTTGGGTATAATTGTGAGAGATTGCAAATTCGGAGGGCTAGGTTAAAAAAAATCCCCTAAACCTTTTTGTGAGCGCCATAAGAACCCAGAGGGGAGAGAGGGAGAGAGCGAGAGAGAGAATGCTGAAGGGCTCGAACAACCCTAAGACGGTGATGATCACCGGAGTCAGCCGAGGCCTCGGCCGAGCTCTAGCTTTGGAGCTAGCGAGGCAAGGGCACACGATAATAGGCTGTGCTCGAGCACAGGATAAGCTCCAGTCCCTGGAGGCCGAGATCCCATCCCGAGACAAGCATCTCTTCCAAGTTCTTGATGTGGTCAGTGCTTCCCCTAACTGCTGTTGATATTATTTCGAAATATAGGCGGAATTTTTGTAGAATTTGCAGTTGAATGTGTCATTTGGAAATTGATTTATAGTTGTAGAATTTGATGTTGAGTAAAGATGGTTTCTTTGGGGCCTAATGCCTTTTTTAAGAAATTGGGTGCCCGAGATGTTTCTTACAATGAATTTTGAATGGATACTGATTTAGGGTTCCTCTCTTGATTTTATAGAGTTTGTGCATGTCGCCGAAAATAATATTCGGTGATGAAATCTTAGTAAATTTAAATGGGTGGAGGTTTTCCTTCTGAGACCCCAGGAGAAAACTGTTAGGGACTTGGGTAGTATGGGCTGCCTAAATAAAATGGGAAACTTGATGGGTATTTAAGTAGCTTGGTTCTTCCCCCTTAACAGCTAGCTTTTGTAAGGGTGGGTTCCCCAAGTTGCTTGGATCCTAACAATTGGTATCAGAGCTGGTTGTCGGCGTCACGAAAAGGGCTACTTGTGGAGGGGCTGACCGGAAAGGCCGAGTGAAGCAACGCCGAGTGAAGCATCATAGAGTGCAGCCGCCGGGACGTCGGCTCTCAGGGGCGGTGCTATGTTAGGGACTTGGGTAGTATGGGCTGCCTAAAGTCCCACATCGAGTAAAATGGGAAACTTGATGGGTATTTAAGTAGCTTGGTTTTTCCCCCTTAACAGCTAGCTTTTAAGGGTGGGTTCCCCAAGTTGCTTGGATCCTAACAAAAACCCACAAAAAGCGAAGGAAAAACTGAATAATCAATATGAAATCGAGCATGGCGAAAGATTCTACTAAGTAGATCAGGAATTCCACTTGTTGCTAACAAAGATTCTAAAGTGAAGAGTTTTCCACTATTGGGGAAAGTAGTCCACACATTGAGTTTGTGACAAAAATTAAGTAGATCAGGAAGCAATATGTGGCTCTCTTTTTAGGTACCTACTACAACTAACTCTCTAAATATCCCTAATATTTCCCCAATATCTGTAATCTGATACAGATTTTGGTCATTCAATATTATCATCATATAGAAAGAAAAGACACCCTAATTCGTCCGTGGACGTGAGCAAATTTCCGAGCTGCGTAAGAGTTGTCTTTTGTGATTTCTTTTTCAGCTCTTTGCCTCTTTCTTATTCTCTCTCATGCGTGTAGGAAAGATCCGATTCCTAAATGAACAAACTATCTTCAGTGCCATCTGATTAGTACCTCAATTAGTAGTTGATGGTGCACAGACTAATTGGGTTCAGGTATTTGTACGAACACAAATTAGTTCGAACAACTAAGTTTCCAACATCGTCCATGCAAACCTACTCGCCAAAGTTATGAAGGTGAGCTTCCTGAGATATTTCTAGGCATCATCTCTCGATGTTTAAGTTGGTATTTTTTTAAAAGAAAATAGTAAGGAAAGGTGTAACTAAGTTGCCAACAACGTCTACGCTGACCTACTTACCAAAAATATGAAGGTGAGCTTTGTGAGTTATTTCGAGGCATCATCGCTCTGATGTTTAGGCCATTATTTTTTTCCGAAGAAAATAGTAATTGAAGGGGTATTTTATGGTTTCATTTGTGTGCATCCGGAAGAGGGTTTTTTTCACCTTAGTGATGGCTATTTTGGGAACATCAATAGTCCTGTACCAATTTGGTTAAAAGCTGAAGATTTCGCTGATTAGTCAACTTTTTCCCTGATGTATGAGACTCGGCTCTGCAATCTTCCTCTTAGCGTTTTGTCATGTTCTACACATATGCGGCATTCTTGACCAAGAGCATCCCGACCTTTATAAGGTTAGCAACCTACGGTCATTTCCAACATGTGCCTACAGTTAAAAAAGATTATCTTTCATCTTTTGTTTGGGCTTACAGTTATTTCACTCTTCATAAAGGCCTAATTTGCTCCTATTATTTTTCTAGTCTACTTGTAAGTTTGGGACCTACAGCTTCTAGTCTCCGGTGAAATTCGTTTATCATTGTTCTGTAATATATTTCTTGGTTATAATGTTTCCATTTCTTTTTTATTTCTTGAGATCATCTCTACCCAGTTCTGGATATTATCATGAAGTAATGTCCATGACTTTTTAGAAAGTGCATAGAGGGTTCTTAACATCTTACAAAGATTATCACTTTAAAGAAAATTGTGTACTTATTATATTTTTAGCTTATATTTTGAATTTAATTGCATACGGGTTTGACAGAATTAATTAGTAGATCTTAAGATGGAATTAAGTTTTACTTCTTCGGTAGGATGGCTTTGCTTATTTTTGTTTGTTCCATTATGCTTTAAGACTTTTAAGTAATTGGCTGTTAGACTGCCAGTATACTGATAGTACAGGAAAATGGTTATTTATCTGGGGTTTTCTGCTAATGCATTCAGTATAGATGCTTCCCTTCTTGTCACTCTATTACCTAGGTCGTTGAAAGATGATGTGAATCATGTGATAAATATGTTATTGACTGTGTTGTTGCGAAGTTTAATGATAGTAACTGCTTGTCTCGTATGCAGAGGTCGGATAGCGGGGTTCAAGACCTGGCAAGACTAGTTATGGAGAGAAGTCTAATTCCTGATATCATAGGTTTATAAACTCTACTATCTACTTGCTTTGTAATACATTATACATTTGTAAGTTTTCATATTAACTGGTTGCTTCTTTTTTATTCTTGCTGAATATTGTGGAGTTTGTGGCAGACTTCCGCTATTTCTGCAGTTTTTAGCAAATAGTTGCTATTGTAGATGTCTGATGGGCTTATTTTTGTATCAGAATGTTTCTTGCTTTTAGAACCTCAAATGCACCTTGCTTTGGTTGCTAGTACTGTTGAGTTATACATCTGCAAGATATACATGATCTTTGTACTATCTTTACTTTATTAGTGTCATAATTATATTTTTTCAGACATGTGAATTAGTTTGAATAACTGAAAAGAGGGCATCATTGTAGTAAATAATGCGGGAGCTATCAACAAAAACAATAAGATATGGGAAGTTTCAGAAGAAGAATTTGATATGGTCATCGATACCAATGTAAAGGGTGTAGCAAATGTGCTCCGTCACTTTCTCCCTTTCATGATTGAGAGAAAGAAAGGAGTTATTGTTAACATGTCTTCTGGTTGGGGGAGGTCCGCAGCTGCTGAGGTATTGTTTTCTTCTATTATATTGTAGGTGTGATTTTATTTGATGCATCTATTTCTCTGTGACAATACTTTTCACTTGTGGATGACAATAATTTTAGTTTTATATACACCAGGTAGCACCCTATTGTGCATCAAAATGGGCAATTGAGGGGTTGACTCGTTCTGTGGCAAAGGAATTGCCTCCTGGCTTGGCAACTGTGGCTCTAAGTCCTGGTGCGGTGAACACTGATATGCTAGCCTCATGCTTTGGAAATTCTGCTGCCCTCTATCAGACTCCTGAAGCATGGTATTTATCATTCACACGTCCATAGCTTTATCTATATCATAAATTTCTATTACTCAATAGTGGATCATATTTAAAATAGCTTTACCACCTTATGAGTAACAGTAGCCTAATCTGAATCATTTTCTCATATTATGGCATCTGAGTTACTGATATTTATACAATAAGGTAATTGAAGTTGTGCTTTGGTCATGATAATAGTATTTGCTCAAAACTTTTTGTGCCAGATAATTTAAGGTCATAAGCAGGTTCCAGATTTCTCTACTTAAAAGTAGCACCAAATATTTTGAGTTAGATACCTTGATGATGTTTACTTTTTGGATGTTAGATTCCTTAGATGGTGTTTACTTTTTGGATGTTAGATTCCTTCAATATTGTTTTCAGATGGTGAGATTTTTCTTCTTTCTATTTCCTTTTACCACTCAGACAAGAAAACTAAGGAATCAAAAAAATAAAAAGGATGCTTCGTAAAATCTTGCAGTTGAAAGGAATCTGGACTGCATTCCTTGTGCTCCTCGTTGCCTACTATCAGTGTGTAGTGAATTGATATGTTTGAATAAGTTGTATTTTTCCTAATAATCTTCTACTTTTTTCAATTGGTCAGGGCTCCACGAGCAGCAACTATGATACTTAATCTCTCAGTGGAAGATAATGCTACATCACTCACTGTTTAATGAAATTAGGTGTAGATCACTAGCATCTCCGTGATTGTTGGCGCTTACATCACATTGCCATACTTTTGATATGGGAGTTCATAGTAGATTCTGGAATAGCTGCAAGCATCTCTTTTGAGTGTTTTTGGTAAGAAAAAATTCTTCTTTCTCTTTTATTGATTTTTTTTATTAACCTTAAGAGGCATGACAACATGCACCACCAACCAGGAATTCTACACTAACAGCTACTGGCATATCCCATCGGTCAATCTTACCTCTATATAAGAGTTGACCAGTTTGAAAGAAACTCAAAAAGAGATTTCAGAGTTTACTATAAATTTGTGTGATTTGTTTAATTTGAGCTTGTCCATCTTTCTATGCACAATGCACGATTTAGGTTTGGTTTGAATTCTTTCTCGTGAGATTTATGGATGTATGTGGGAGAAAGTTGATATTATGATTTTAGTTTGAACATAATCTATTGAATTCTGTTGCCATATTATTAGCTAAGCAAAACTTGAGATTCCTAATTAAGGTTTATTTGGCAAGAGGAAGTAGGAAGGAGGGAAGGAAACAGTCAATCCCTTCTCATGGATGTTTATTAACTGGAATTAGAATTAAAAAAAATCAGAATTGGAATCAGCTGATTCCAGTTGGGTGTTCTTCTTATTATCAGATTAATTTTAAAAGTATTATTTCATCTTGTAGTTTTGGAAAAGGAAATAATAGTCTCTTAACATTTAGATCTTGCCATGTTAACAATCTTGGTGTAGTTTCACTTCTTATTCATTTCTTATATAAGGCTTTATGATTGAAATTTTAATTCCAACATCATTTTCATAATTATGATTCTGAATTGAATTTGTAGAAGTTTTTCTTTGTCGACTTTGCTGTCTAGTAGAATTTCCTTAGTTACTTTTACTTATTTTATCATATATTTATTCATTTATTATCTTGTAAGACTGCCTTTATCTTCACATGATATCCTTATTTATTCTTTCAAATTAATCTTACCCTATGTGATGACCAAATTGTGGTTTTCCCCTTTGTAATTTTTATCACTTAACTTGCGCAAGTTGGAATTTAGAATGTTTCATATCTGTGTTTACCCTTTGTAATTTTTATCACTTAGAATTTTTATCACTTGACAATTCTCTTGCTTTCTAATTTTACTTTTTACCTTTTTTCAACTGGCCAGGGTTAGGTGATGAAACTTTCTAATCTTGATTGGAAGCCAGTGTTGCTTCAGTGACTGTTTGAGGATAGTAGACATTTTATCAGTGGTTTAATGTTCGATTTTTGGGAGATCAGCGTGTATATATAAATTCTGCCATACAGTTACAGTGAATTAGTGCTTGTCTCAGTACTGTTTCTTATACAGTCTTCGCCTGTATAATGTTGCTTATATTTACTTTTCCTAAATTATCGTGCGAGTCTTTTCACGGTGATTGTACTGATTTAATCGTTGAACTAGTGTTGACTGTAACCTTTTTCTCTCTTTTTTATTTTTATTTTTTTTTGGTGCACAATTAGTTGCCTTTACCTTGTTGAGGGTGCAATTGCACTGCAGATGTTACATCCACAGGCTACTCTGGCTTCTAAGGTAAGCACAATAATAAGGGTGGAAATGAACCAAATAATTAATAAATAGTTCGATAATTGTTCGAATAACTATTTTGTCATATTTGATTCGGTAGTTCATTTATCACTAAACAAATATTTTTTAGTATTCGAGTATATTAATGAATAGAATTTAACCAGATGTACATTCGATTCGTTTGTCTATTAAATATTCGTTTAAATTTAATACAGCTTATTATTTTTATTATTACACATATGATGTTATATTTTTAACCCACTTACTATTTTTACTTAAGTTTTATATATTGATTTTTTTTAAGATTTAAATAATCTTAAATTTATTTTTCTAGATTAAATATTATTATATATATATATATATTATATATATATATATATATATATATATAATATATATATTAATGGGTTTCCTTGTCGTAGGAGGGTATTTCTCCTATGACGCCTCTAAAATCACATGATTGAGGCGTATTATGATGATCCGTTCGTTGAACTTGATCTACATATTCTAAAATCCCAACACACCAAGTTTGGGGTGACCCGTCGTCGTTTGACCTTCATCCACTCGTATCATTTTAACGGTTTTGAATGAATATAACTTTGTTTATCATGGCTCGATGGAGGGTCAAACAACGACGGATTCACCCCAAACTTGGTGTGTTGGGGTTTTAGAATATGTAGATCAAGTTCAACGGAGCGGATCATCCATAATATCGCTCAATCATGTGATTTTAGAGGCGTCATAGGAGAAAATCCCCTCCTATGACAATGATACCCATTAATCTTTAGTTAAAGGAATAATTTTTAGTTATGATTTTAATACTATTTGGAAATCAAACTTTTTATCAAAATAAATATACTTTGATATTCGATAAGTATTCGTGAATATTCATGAATATTTATCAAATAACAAGTGTTTGAGTTCAAGTTCGAAAAACTAGATATATGAATATTAGAGTTCGTATTCGAATTCGATAATTTTAAACAAATACAAACATGAACACCTTAGTATTCGATTCGATTCAATCATTTACCACCCCTAAGCACAATGAGCCAATCACTTCACATTGACAACTTCTAGAGGCAAGTGTTGAGTTGAGAAGAGTGATGGACGCTAAGAAATATTTTATTATTATTTTTCTAGTGGTATAATTCTCAATACTCTTTCTAATACAAACACACTCTCTATTACAGACTGCTATACTCTTTTACAAACACTCGCTATTTATTTATTTTGCTATTTATTTATTTTTTTCTTTCTCATTCTCTTTATTTTCCTTTTGCTACTAGGATAATTTTCATCGAAGACTTTGGGGCATTATTTATAGGTGATATTGTGGTAAGTAAGTGTACACTGTAGAAATTAGGTGGATCTTGTGATTGGTGAGTAATGTAGCTAGGTTATTGATGAATGGTGGCTGAGGTAGGTAGCTACTGACTTTAACACTCTCTCTCAGCAAAGACTTCTCTATTCATGAGTCCAAGTGAAATTCTAAATTCTTCTTGATTACTTGGATTTCTTCTTGCACAACTTGTCTCCATTCATTATTCCTGAATGACTCCTTCACGTCTTCTATTACAACAACATTAACATACTTGGGATTTGACTTCCTAGGTCTGGCCAATCTTCGAACCTGTCTTATTTATTATTGTAATACCCCAACCCTTGAGAGGGTGATGTGATTAGTATTGATAGATTTGATTGGAATACTCATACCATCAAGATGCATCTTCTTTTCGGGAACCCAACTCTTAGAAACTCCAAAGTTAAGCGTGCTTGGCATGGAGAAATTCTAGGATGGGTGACCCCCTGGGAAGTTTTCCAGGGAGCGCGTGAGTGAGGACAAAACGTGTTGAAAAGACATGTGGTGGTTTGTGAGGCCAGTCCATCAAATCTAATAGCGTACCGACTCCGGAATTCCGGGGCGGTTCGTTACAAATGGTATCAGAGCAAAGCCAACCGGAATTGTGAGAGCTAAGTGCTATACATCGTAAAGTGCTACGTCGAGAGGGCGGGAGCCACCTCTTAAGGCCGTAGGAGCCACCTCTAGAGTCTCACACGGATGGTACGGTCTTGGCTAATATGATTTGGCACAATGAGGACGTTGTGAGTTTAAGTGGGGGAGTATGTAATACCCCAACCCTTGAGAGGTGATGTGATTAGTATTGATAGATTTGATTGGAATACTCATACCACCAAGATGCATCTTCTTTTCGGGAACCCAACTCTTAGAAACTCCAAAGTTAAGCGTGCTTGGCCTGGAGAAATTCTAGGATGGGTGACCCCCCTGGGAAGTTTTCTAGGGAGCGCGTGAGTGAGGACAAAACGTGCTGAAAAGACATGTGGTGGTTTGTGAGGCCAGTCCATCAGATCTAATAGCGTACCGACTCCGGGATTCTGGGGCGGGGCGTTACAATTCTTTACTGATATCTTCTATCTAACTCGGGTGTTCCTCTTCTGATGTTATCTAACGAACACTAGTCTTCTATGGATTCTTTTCATTCGGAGATGTAGGAGAACTTGGTGCTGTTTTCTTTGATTGTTGTGATTTTTCTTCTTGATTTGGCTCCCCCAATTTCTTCTGTAACTGATCCTCTAGATTATTGAAGTTTGGAAGCATAACTTCTTGTGGAATCCACCAAGATGAGGTTTCATCAAACACAACATTTGTTGATGTGTATCATTGTTCGGTTGTGCGATCACATCATCTCCATCATTTTCTTTCATTATCACACCTCACAAAAATACACCTTACAACCCTTTTGTCGGACTTGTTGCGTTAGTGACCAGGCACAAAGACATAACATACATAACCAGAAACTGTGAAATGGCTTAAGGTTGGGTTGGTATTCCACAACTTCTGAAATGGTGACATGAACTCCAATTTTGGTTGTGGTAACCAATTTATCATGTGCGCCTTAGTTTTCATACACTTAGCCTAAAAACATCCTGACACGTTCTTGGCATGAAGCATGCTTCAGCATATCTCTGCAAGATGATGATTCTTCCTTTCAGCAATGCTATTATGCTACAGAGTATTTAGGCACGTTAGCTGTCATCGAATCCTGTATTGTTTTAGGTAGTCATAAACTCCTTCAATATGTTCTCTCCTTGTTGTTTGTGCATAGGCAACAAATCTTTTTGTCGGGTTCTCCTTCTACTTCTTCTCAGAATTGCTTAAATTAGAGAGTGCATCGGATTTTTCCTTTAGGAAATAAACCCAGACATATCTCGAGTAATCATCGATAAAAATGATCATAAATCGCATCCCACCGATTGATTCTTGCTTTACTCGACGGAATACATTTGGGTGTACAAGCTCGAAAGGTTCATTGGCTTTGAACTGTGACTCCTGGTACGGTAATTGATGCGCCTTTCTATACTGACAATCTTCGCATACGGTTCCTCCTCGAATCTCCAAATATGGAAGACCTCTTAACATTGATTTCTCCATCATGATCTTGAGCTTATGATAGCTCACATGGCGAAGCCGGGCATGCCCTAGATTAGCCATCTTATTCTCATGGTTGTATTTATATATATCGATTCCGTCGACATCACATAAACAAATTCCATCTTTCCTCCCTCCATGATAGGTTTTCCTGGTGGCTTCAAGTTTTGATAGACTTTTACATATTGTAGCCTAAATACTACATAATTTCCTAAATCCGTTAAGATAGGAGGTTCTTTTTCATACTCAGTACATGGTGTACATCTTGTAGTTGTATCTGATTCGGATTGTAGCGCGGCGTAAACACAGTCTTTCTGATGTGTGTGATAGGTTTCTTAAATTATTCGCTATCACAACTTCTCGACTGCCTTTATACTCCTTTATGTTGAGAAGCTTCACCTTGTCTCCCATCACGTGATTGGAACAACTAAAATTGACGATCTAATATCTACTGTAAATAATTTTTCCCGATTTGAAACCATTGTAAGTGTAGACTCAGATCCCTCCATAATGGAGGTTGCCATATCAATGACCTCCTCTTCGTCAACTGATACATCTTCAATGATGTTCACGGATGCTTGGGCATCCTACTCTTCTTCATTATTTTGAAATCTATACGACGTTGTAGCATTTCCCTCTACAGGTCTTCTCTTGTAGCAGCAATCTTTGACAAAGTGTCCTTTTTCCACAGTTATAGTAGCTGCCGTTAGGTTGCCTTGCTCGATGATCACCTTGCTCCTTGCGTTGTTGTGTTTTAACGGTGTATAACTGTCCTGGCTTCCTTCTTGCGCTAACCTTTCCATACTCCTCTTTGCTCGTGCCTCTAGGTTTGCCTTTCTCCTTGCTGGTGAAGAGTACTTCATCTTCACTTTTCATTGAAACGACGGCCATTTATTTGGCTAGGGTCTTGTGTAGTGAGCAAACTTTCCAACTCCAATAATGTTGGTTGAGTCAGCCAGCCGTGTATAGCAGCAACGAGCCCATGATATTTCGGTGTTAAATCGTGGGTGATTATTCTTTCATCCTTGTATTCGACACTCTAGAATCGGGATCTAACTGAGTAATATCTGAACATAGTGATTTTACTTGCTTGAAATACTGACTGATTGTCAGATCCTTCTATTGCTAGGTCATCAGTTGATTCTCAAGGAGCTGAGGTCGAGCACCATTCTTTTTCGAGAAGAGTGTGGCGAGTGTATCACATGCCTACTTCGAAGTGCTGGCATCTCACATATAGTCTACGAGACCTTCTTCTACTATCATCTTCAACACATACATAGCTTTGCCGGCTTTGATGTTCCACTTCTTTAGTGCTTTACCAACTTCCCGAGGTGCTATAGTTTCGACACCCCCGATGACCTCCTAGAGGTCTTGTCCTTTTAAATAGGACTTCATACAAGTCTTCTAGTAGCTGTAGTTATTGCCGTTAAATTTTTTGAATGTAGTAGTACTTGCCAGACCCGTCATCGTGACGTAGTACTGCTTCAGTATCTCCACATAAGGTTGGATCTTGACCATCCAACTTTACAGATCCAGACTGAGCCACTAACTTCGGCCTTAAATAACGCCGTCAGGATCACCGTAGGAGAGAGCTGATCCTTGACTGCCTAATTGTTGATTTGAGAAGGGTGGTTCTGATACCACTTGTTAAGTTGAGAAGAGTAGTGAACACTAAGAATATTTTGTTATTATTTCTCTAGTGGTACAACACTCAATATTCTCTCTAATACACTCTTCCTATTATTAACTACTACACACGTCTACAAACGCTCACTATTTATTTTCTCTCTCTCTCTCTCTCTCTCCCTCCCTATTTTCCTTTTGCTACTGG